TCATGAATAGCTAAATATTTTGACCACATTTTGTTTCAATCAATATTTTCTCATCTCAGAACTTCAAACATATGCAAACTGAAACCATTAACAAAAAAAGAATGAATTTTATGACAACTGTCGTTTACAGATGCAGGAGCACAAATTATATGTTAGTCAAACATCACCCCTGAAAAAATTAGTGGTTTTAATTAATTAACCAAATAAATTTGTAGTTGATCCTTAAAATTTCATAATGTCAGCCTAGAAAGCAATTAAAACCATATCAGCAAAATCGGCATCCATTCATCATTTTCGAATAACAAAGAAAAGAAAAGCAGATGCCTACACTTAACAATTCAGAAATAAGAAACAAACAAAATTCTCAAGCAGGTCAGTTTCTAAGCATGCTGCAAATGAAACAAATTTGCATAGCATAGACTGATTGAAAAAATGTTCATATATACTGGATATACTGGAAGTCTAGAATAATTATTGGAAATGGAAATCGACAAATAAAGATCCATTCACATCATTTAGCTATATAAGTCGTCATCATCGTTTCCAGCTCCAGATGGTCCCGTTGGCTGTCCTGGATTTGAGGACACTCCTGCTTGATTCGGAAATCTAAAAAAAATAAAATCTGTATTTAGAACTTATGCATGAAAATATCAATCAGCGTTTAATCGCTTCCTGAAAGCTGCAAAATAATTATTACAAATTATTAAATAATCATTAATAACTACCAAGTCTTACGTAACAAACTTCATGTTTGAAGAGATTTTCGAAGAAAAAAAAAAAATATGTAGGCGTACTTGAAGTTAGTTCCAAAGCCTCGCTGCTGTTGCAGTGTCTGCGCAAACATTTCGTATTTGCGGATATCATTATCCGAAACTGAACGACGGGCGAATTTCATTGCCTGAAAGGAAAAAAAATCATCTAAAAAATAGATTGCATTTGAAATTAGATAACAAACCAAAGAATATTTACAACCTTAATTTATTAAACTGCTATAAATTGAACAAGGAATCAAACATCAAAACTGGCTCATCTACAACATTAAAACACTGGAAAAAATAGCACAACAAAGAGTGTCTCCGTTTAATAATAAGTAGCCAATGTTTCCGTTTTACTATTACATGGATATTTCAAAATTAACCTCTTCAAAGTGTGCACGAGTAATTTCTGGTACTGGATCATAAACATCATCATCCATAAGCTCTTCACCCCGAGCACGGCGCTCTTGTTTCTCCTTTTCGTGGCGAATTTCTTTCTCAATGCTTTCACGAATTGCTAGTTTACATGCTCGTTGGCAAATTTCTGTCAGATCAGCTCCTGAGAAGCCAACTGTTGTCTTGGCCAAGTATGTCAAGTCCACATCCTTAATTTAATTATTCGTCAAGAATAAGACTTTTTAAATATTTCATCTTAGCCAACTCAATCAAGATAGATAGAAACTAACTGTTGCAATCGGCGTTTTGCGAAGATTCGCTTTGAAGATTTGTAAACGGCTAGCCTCATCAGGAAGAGGTATATAGATTAATTGATCAAGACGACCTGGACGAAGAATAGCCGAATCGATGATGTCCGGCCTAACAAAAAGAATATAAAGAAAAAAATCAAGAATTTAATTCAAAAACACTGGATCTTTTAAAGCAAACAACAAACGATATGCTGCCTAAACAAACCGATTCGTTGCTCCAATAATGAAAACATTTTTCTTGTTCGACATACCGTCCATCTCGGTTAGAATCTGATTGATCACACGATCAGCAGCACCACCTGCATCTCCAATGCTGCCACCTCGAGCTTTGGCAACCGAATCCAACTCATCGAAGAAAAGGACACAAGGCGCCGCAGCTCGAGCCTAAAAAAATGTTTGTACACTATAACAGCTATAGAAGTCTCACGCAGATTATAAACTGTTTTTTAGAAATGCAAAGCACAATCAAAGCTAATGAAAAAAAAAAACACCTTGTCAAAGACATCTCGCACATTTGCTTCAGATTCACCAAACCACATGGTAAGAAGTTCAGGGCCTTTGATTGAAATAAAGTTAGCTTGACACTCATGTGCGATTGCTTTAGCAAGAAGTGTTTTACCGCAACCAGGAGGGCCGTAAAACAATACTCCACGAGACGGCTGCATGCCAAATTTGAGATATTTGTCTGGATGTTCTACTGGATACTGAAAAAGCAATTGGCTGATTACAAGTAATTTTCCGGAAAATTTTCAAAAATATGTATTTTTATGTATGGAAGTTTCTTATTGATTCCACTGTTAATCAGCATTCTTCAGAATGAGGAAAAGACCAAACGTTCGCTATTAAAAAATGCATCGGTAACATATCACTGACTTTTCCAAACTATCTTGTTACTACTTCTTTTAGCAGTCCCTACTTTTTCTAATGAAACCTTTGTTTAACAATTTGTAAGTCACATTTTAGTAAAAAAATAACCTGAACAAGTTCTTGCAGCTCACGTTTAACATTCTGCAGGCCACCAATGTCATCCCAAGTAATATTAGGTGTTTCAACAGTGGTTTCACGAAGAGCTGATGGGCTGCTTTTACCCATCGCAAACTAGAAAATAAAATTATATTCCAATAATTCAAGTGTGAAAACACATATTTACTGTCTTTCCTCACTTGTCAGATTTGAGTTTTGTCAGTATATTTGGTTTTATTTACTAACAGTATGCAACACTATTGTTGAGTAAAATTTGGGTCCAGTACTTCAGCATTGTGATAATGTTAGAAAGACGAATTGCATATTAGCTAAGAAATTACCGAAACATTAAAATGTTACAAAAATCTATGACAGGTATACCTCACTAAAGAGAAGGCTACTGAATAAATTAAATGGAACAAAAAGCAGACTCGGAAATTCTCCATAGTGACTGCCAGTGAATTAAGAACTTCCGCATCGATTGTATCATCTTCCAAATCGATCAGTTCCATTTTCTCACGGATCTGCTGCAGAGCTGCTTCGGAACAAAGAGATGCCAAATCTGCACCTACATAACCATGGCATTCATTTGCAACCTTAAATATTTTGAAAGTTTTATTGATTAGGCTTTGAATCAAAAACTGTTTTAATTTAAGCCTTCCAGAAAACACTCCAGACTATTACTACAAATGTATGCACTGTTAAGTAGACCAATTACCTATATAAGTAATTGTTCTGTTCACAATGCAAAAGTTTTTCTCCGAGGCTTGTATCAGCAGTAATGTTAAATCCATATACTATGCCTTCTTACACCTCGGGTATTATAAGGAAAAAAGTCTTCTCTCTCACGAACCATAATTGCAACATGGTTCAAAAGTTCTTGAATCCAGTTCAACTACTGCTGAAGATTTTCGTGCGCCAGTTCTTCTAGGTCTGACATTAAAAATCAAGAAACTAACTTGCTCCAAATCAACATCATCACCAAGACGCATATTCTTTGTATGTATGCGAAGGATTTCCAGTCTTCCAACAGCATCTGGAATCCCGATATCGATTTCACGATCAAATCGACCAAAACGTCGCAATGCAGGATCAATCGAATTTGGTCGATTTGTCGCCGCCATAACAACAACATGACTACGTTGTTTCAAACCATCCATAAGTGTCAATAACTGCGATACGATACGACGTTCGACTTCGCCATGCGTCTAAATAACATCAATTGAAAAAGTTGTAGATCGAAGTAGGAAATCTTTAATGAGGAAGTTAGTGTCAGTTACTAAAATTTATAAAATACAAAAAATCAATAATACGACAGCATTATATAAACAAATCTGATTCAGACTCGTCTTTTCTATAGCAGAAATTCACTACGCTATACAATAATACCTTTTCACGTTTCGGTGCGATAGCATCAAGTTCATCGATAAATAAAATTGCAGGTGAGTTTTTTTCACATTCTTCAAATGCTTTACGTAAGTTGGATTCTGATTCACCAGCTAATTTGCTCATGATTTCAGGTCCTGAAAATAGAATTAGTAATTCCCCTTGATAGGCATATTTCAGCTATGAAATAATCAGAACTTCACAACGGTCTAAAAATGAGTATTCACCATTCAGGAGAAAAAAGAACGCTCCAGTTTCATTCGCGACCGCTCGAGCTATTAGTGTTTTGCCGGTACCTGGTGGTCCGTATAACAAAATGCCTCTTGGTGGCTGAAACAAAATCAGAGATTATTTTAAACCAACTGAAGGAAGCTACACAAACCAATCACAATTCATACCAAAATTCAAACAAACTAATCAATATTTACACTACATTCACACCAACTTTGACGGACGATATTAAGAAAATAGAATAAGATTCTGAACTTTCTTCTCATTACGTCCTCCAAATTTCCCAGACTTATTCCAAATCTAAGCAGAGCAATAATATCGAATGTTCTCCGCACATTAACCATACCTTGATACCAATAGCTTTAAAAAGCTGAGGATGTCGCAGTGGAAGTTCGACCATTTCCTTGATTTGTGCAAGTTGTTTACGCACGCCACCAATATCATCGTAACCAACATCAGCCATATTTTCTTCTTCTTCTTCACGCTTAATTGGTTCACCTTCACAATGAATGATTGTATCTGGTGCAACGATGCATGATGGTGAGGGATCAGTTTCAACAACCTTAAAAAACATTCATATCCAATAAATGAACAATGTTTTTCTTTCAAACAATTGGTAAATAAAAGGATTCATTCAGCCAATCAAGTCTTTAGGTAAACAACTTCAAGTTGAACCAAAAAAGACAAAACAGCCGGTATAAAATTACCTAAAATACGTCAGTTTCTGTAAACATTTATCTTTCTCGTGTTAAAAAAGAAAAAAGAACAGGAAATCCACCTTGAACTCAACATTACGCATAGCTGCATTGACAGAAAAAAGATCGCCTTTATGAAGTGGTCGATATGATTCCACAAAGTAAGGCTTCAAAAACACTTCGAATAAATTACTGAAAATGTGATCATAATACTTCGACATTTATTTAAATATTATTAGGAAATATTATTAGAAAATCCAGTGAGAGCTCAGTAAAGTGCTGTTTTTTCTGTGCATGCTGGAAATTTGCCCGGTGCAAATTTTCACAACAGCAACACTGGCACACACCTCTGCCAGTTTCAGGACCCCTGCACGATTCATCACTGCTCTAAAAACAATACACCCAAGCCATTCAGACGTAAAACGAGTAAAACTATTTGCAAAGATCTTACCCCGTAAGACCCACAACCGTATCATCGATAGGAAGAACATGAACACGTTTTCCATAACTGATGCTCGGAGCAGCAGTGATGCTACAAAGGAATTTTTTGAAACGAAATAAAAGACAACACTAAAGGAAAGTTAAAAATTCCACAAAGTTCAAATAAATTGTAAAGTATTACAATTATTTGCATGTAAAAACATAACTGACATCTCCGGTAGTGCAAGAAACACATAACCGCAAGTCTGTTTTAGAAGAGTCAAATGTGGCCGTTTGGAATATTCAAAAAAGCTACAACACTAGAAAAGATGAAACACGAAACAAACGGACCTTACAACATCACCCAATCGTACGCGTAAATTGTTTCGAATGACTCGATTCATGCGGATTTTATCATTTGGACAAGTGTCATCCGACAACACAATACATACTGTCTCTTTGCGTTTTTTTCCTTTCAAAATAACTGTATCACCACGAAACAAATTTAATTCATCCATCTTTGCCTAGAAAATCAAATGTTTGAATGTAACAAGACGTAAGACACATCATTCCAGCAGATTACATAAGAAATGTAATAGCTGTATTATCTCAAATAGTTGAATATGATGTCATCACGACCAATTCAGTTTGCAGTTTATACCTGCGAAAGCGCAACCACAGAATTGTCATCATTGACGGATTGATCAACAATTAGCCGATTCGGTTTCACCTTATCCTTTAAGATGGCCGTTGCTAATTCTTCATTCTTCTTTGTTTTATCATCAGCCACCCTGAAACTTCGTTATTTTTATTAAACAAATGCATCAGAGAGGCATAACAAAGTGGCAATGTCTCTCTGGCTATCATAATTCCCAGTTATATGTTCCGACCACTTTCCGTATAGAAATGATAACTTACGTTGGGATAGATGCCATTATTCAACGTAATATTCTTATCGGGAACTGACGCTGCAAAAAAAGAAATAAAGCTATCAAAAAATGGATGGTAAATGAATTTATTAAAAAAGATACGACGAGCAATGTTACATTAATTATTTGCACGACGAACAGCTATACAGTCACGGATCAACAGAAATAATCAACCGCTTACTAGATGCTTACAAGAAGCCAGTACATTAATCATAATTTATGTCAGTTTATCAACAACTTTCACTAATCCGTGTATTTGTTGTAATCAAATGAGAATGACGTACAAATACTCAGCAGTTCATAAATTTTAGATATATATTGTGCTGATTTTTTACCATTGAGTAGTAAGGATAATTTGCCAACTCCTCATCTCACTTCGAAAAATATTTTCCTACCTGATACTCACTTTAAGTTCAAATAATCAGGGAATATAGAGCGTGCTATCAGTGAACATAATGCATCAGCGTAAAACTTAACATGAATCACTGATTAACCTTATGCAGAATTATGCAAAACAAATATCGACAGCAAGTTTTAGATTCGTATATTCGTATTTTTCACCCATACTGTGCAACTTCAGTCGCCAAGAAGATACGTACGGCAACAAGGGATCAAGCTCAAGGGAACAGTCAAATGAAGTCATAGAAAATAGGGTGAACTTTGGAGAGATACCACTAATTGAATATTTTATTTCTCTGACCTCGGTATGCACAGAGAAAATTAATTATAAATGCTGTAGCTCATTTGAACTTAATTTCGCATAAACAGACATGACATGCTTTCTTCATGCACTCCCCTCTCTCCTCTGCATGTAATGCACGTACTTTTCATTCCACGTGTCAAAATTTGCTTGTAAATAAGTGTAACTGAAGTTTATTGCACTCACTAAAAAAGAAGAGAAATAAATACATTTAAAACTTTCAAGGATTGCACTGAGATTAAACTTTAAAAGAAAATAGAAACAAAATTCCACAACGATAATTTCCTCATCCTCAACGATGGGAAAATAGAAAGATGGTAGAGCTCACACGGTCACTTACCCTCAAAACACACGTCATTATAAAAGGATCGAAAAGCGATGACTCTCTTCTAGAATTTTCTTCCGAAATTTAACGGCGGATGGCATTAAATGCTTATGCAGACTGAAGTGCAAATTTAGAATCCCATGGTGGATTTGCTTCTAGAAAGCATTAAGAATGCAGATGATAAATGAATACAAAGTGGAGGAGAATGTTTTTGGATGTAACTATTTCATTTCAACTTTAATTTTAATGACATAGAAAAAAAGAAAGGAATGAATATTAGACGAATTAATGATCGACCATTATTCTCGTGGAATGTATTGACTGCCATATATTTTATTTTGCCTCAAATTTGGGTAATTAAACTCAACAAATCAATATTATAACAATGCATTACGAAAGATATAATATAATTATAAAACATTAAAATGATATCAAAACCACCCCAAAATGAAGAATGAATCACTGTAATGGAGGACGGTTGTTTATATGCAGAACTGAACTGACAACCAGATATCCGGCAGAGGATATTTAACTGATGTGAAACAAGGACTGCTAATAAAGGGTTTTGCTAACAAAGAGTTTTTGTTGTGTGAGAAAAGGAATTAGCATAATGGCTTAAATGATCTAGACATAGATTAGTTACAAATGCGAAATTATTTGGACAATGACATTTATCAAAGGTATTATAATTTGAATGTATCGTTTTTTTACGACAATTATCTTTAGATTATTTCAGTGTCATCTCAATGTCTCAATAGAATTAGTTTATCTCACTTATTAATTTCTTTTATTAATTTTAATTTTATGATTTTTAATTCTTTCACTAACTCTATACTTTTATCTAATATTAAGAATATCTAATATTAAGGAAGTTCTTTACAAATTGTAAAAAGTGATCGCGAGACCGATTCGAGATTCGGTGTGTATACAAAGTTTATTAGCAAGTAGAATAATGATTAACTGTAGTCCAGTTGATATGTATGAAAGAGTATAACAATAACTTAATGAAAAGAGCTTAGGCCAAGTGGTCTCAGTTGGTTATTATTATAGCCTTGGGCCATTTACTTTACTCATTCATATCTGCTTCCATTCAATAAATCATAATGAATTGTCTTAATTCTCTTTACATATGTATATATGATATTAATTCATTCATGTTTAAGTCTTCGACAATATCCAAAGCAAACGTTGTAACTTTATCGTTGTATGAAATTAGTTTTTGAAAGTTTGCAATTTTAATTGATTGAGAAAAGAAATGAATTTCAATCGAACTGTAAAAGACTTAAAATGCATTAATCAAGAAATTCACTCAGCAATTTTCAATTTTCAATTTTTTTTTCTACTTCCATTTCACTATATTTAGTTTCTCAATTGCTGTGTAGTGTTATTAAAAGAGAAAAATTGTTTCTTTCCACAAATAAATGTAAAATAATTTCAAAACATTTTATTCCTTTGTCAATTGCTTAATGGTATAGAAATGATATCTAAATATTAAACATAGATCATTCCTCTTACTATCGAGAGGGATAATTTTATGATGATCTAAGCATCGAGAATTATTCTTGACTTATTCTACGCCTGAAGATAATCATTAATAAGAAATGCAACTTGTATTTATTTTTACTAATCATTCAGACATTATTATCACTCTCGTTTCTTATCATATCAAAATATTGGATAAGAAAATTATAAATTGTTTTAAGCGTTTTTTTTTTTTCTTCTCATTCCTATCAAATAAATTTTGTTAATACATTGATAATTTTAGATAAAACACAGAACATATTGAAAGTACATTGATGTTATTTTTATCTGATTGGGCAAATAATGCAATTACACTTTTTTTTATTTTATAATTCATCCAGGCTATAAACGAATATTCGCAGATAATTTTAAACATTAATTATGGGAGTAATAAATTTTGCATTAAGAGAAGAGGAAAATAGACAGATACGATCCATTTCATTTTGCTTTCACTGGCTTCTTCGTCTAAAAATCAATTTAGAATTGAATGAATAAAAAAGAAACAAATTTCATTTCATCCAATTCCTAACACTCTTACAGTTCTAATAATAACTTAATGGCAATTCATTTTCTTTTTTTTTTTTATAATCGTAACTTTATGAATAGCAAATTGCTACTACATTAATTAGAAATCTTATCAGTAACAAAAATTTTCTAACCGTTGGCGGTGGTGCGGCAGCTTTACCGCCGCCTGCTGCAGCGGATACTTTCCGACCAGCTTTGTCACCATCACTTGCTTTTTCCGCATCGTCACCCTCTCCAGCTAAATTTCCATCCGCAGCCTGAATTGTTCTCTCTTCCTCCTCAACCTCATCAATACCAGGTACATGAAGTGGAATTGGTTGAACTGGTGGTTTTGCAGCATCACCATCTGCCTTCACTTGTTCTACATATTTTGGAGGCTCTAAATTTTTACGGATCTGTTCGAGCTCTTCGTTTTCACGTCGTCCCCATTCCGGTGGTGGACGAGCTGTTCCGTGAGCGATTTTTGGTGGCTTTTTAACTATTGGCTACAAAATATCACGTTAACTAGAGACATAAGTAAATCCTGAAATGCTATGTATATATTCTTAAACTTGCTTGAAATATTCATTCTATCAAAGAGATAAAGTAATAAAGGATAGGAGTAGTATTTTGCATCTGATCGAACTATTATAAACAACAACCGGATAATTGACAGCACCGTAAGCAATATTCCGGATCTATTTTAATATAATCCTCTAACTGGTGCTTTTATTTTTTTCTCAAAACTATCCATCTCTGTCAATTTGACAACTTTCTATATAAACATCATTCTGTAACATATCGGAAAGAATAAGCACGAATTCTTACAAATGAATTGTTACAAGGAAATTAATTAATAAAATTAATTAATATTACGTGTTCATAAAGATCCCGCCGATCACCATATGATCGTCTGTCAATTTGTCGATCGAATTTTGATACGACGTTGATCTTTGGCTAAAATAGTATTTTAAATTATTTAGACTAACAATAGTTATAGCTACAATGGAATTATTAATTTATTTTTCTATTCGATCAGCTAATTTACTAATTTGTTAAATGGCTTACTTTTCCGTTTATCAATTTGTTTATTTAATAATTGATTTATTACTTAATTTTATTACAGTTTTTGGGAAAGCAACAAACCGGATGTATGGAAGCAGCTGCTTCTTCAGGATCTAAACCTTTCTGTAAAGCTTTATTACGAGCAACTTGACGTTCACGCTCGTGCAGTTCTTTCAACTAAAAAATTTATTTAGTTCAATTAGAATAATGTTTCGTTATTTTTGCTAAATTATCAATATTTTTTTTTTTTTAATTCAAAAACTTAAATACAATTTATAGATCAAAAAAAAAAAAAATTACGTCATATTCTTGACGTTCGTGTCTTTTCTCCAAATCATACTTTTCTCCTTCTAGTTTTACAATACGTGAATGTAACTGTTTAATTTTATCTTTGATATCATTTGGCAGTAAATCGGCAACATTAGCTCCACGACGTTGAATTGCTTCTAGGAAAGCTTGCTTTGCTGCTCTTTTTCCTTCATCACTTGTCTCTTGTTTTGCCTGATAAATTTTAAATTATTTTAAATTATCATTCAGATTATCACAAATTAGCTTAAAATTTCAATTTATAAAATTGATAGATTTTCTTTGAGATAAAATAATCTAATAGATTTTCAAAAAAAAAAAAAAAGTAGTATTGATTCAATTCATTTACACAACATCGATTTTGAATTCAATTCACTCTATCCAATCAAATTTTCATGCTGCATTCAAAAACTAAAAAACTTACAGTAAGTGTCTTTAACTGATCACCCTTTTCGGATTTCTGGATCACGAAATTTTTTCCTCCAGCTGCTGTTCCGGCAGCAAATGAGCCAGCCATCAAATTTTGTCGTTTCTTTCTTTCTTCCTCTCGTCGCTGTTTCTCTGCCTCAATACGAGCTTTACTTTCTTCCTAAAAATATGAGAAGGAATTTAAAATGGGTATTTAGTTCACTTACAATACAACAATAATAATTTTATTTGAGAAATGATAACCTATAGAAAAGACATTTACTAATTTTATAATTGATTAGAAATTGATTCAAAACATTTCATATTTTGAGGATTTCAATCATAACATATTTCAAAATTCCATCTTCTAGGAAATTATAATAGCAAAGAATAATAGAGCTTCAAATATTCCATAATTCTCGAAAATGATACCTCTTCCTGGCGTCGTTTTTCCTCATTCTGACGTTGTCTTTCCGCGAATTCACGTTCTTCTTGTTCACGTTGTTGCCTTCTTTGTTCTTGTTTTTCCTTTAAAGTTCGCAATTCTTCTTCGATCTGTTCTTTCTCGATTCGTCGTTTTTCTTCGTAATCTTGAATTTTAGCTGCTTCTTCTTCCTGATGCCTTTTTTTAGCAGCCTGAAACGAAGGTAAATCTACGTTTTACACTTATTCATATTACAAATTTAGAATGATCATCAAACTCTCGATATCTAAATTTTGAATGATAAATTTAAGAAATACACTTTCTCATTTTTGAGCAAAAATAATCATCATTTTATGAAAGGCAAATAAAATAGTAGTGAAAGATTTACTAGCATAGCCTTTTCAGCTTCAGTTTGTTCAGCCGGAGTTTCATCTTTTTCCTGAGGTGGTGCACGTCTTAGTCTGAAATATATTTCTTTGTATTTGCAATTTTTTCATTTGTCAACGATTAGAGGAATAAGTATATTAGAGAATATTTTCTAATATTTCCTTCAACTTTTGTAAACATTTCTATTTTGTTAACTGTTCACATTAGTTTTCATAGTTTGAAAGAAATGCAGCAATCAGATTAGTTTGATTAAATTTTGAAACGAAATTAAACTGCAATTGAAATTTCATTTGGAAGGAAATTTTATCACCATTATATTTAAAAATGCTTCATATGTTTAACAAAATTAAATCAATCTCGAATTCAGTTGTTAGGAAGAAATTCATAATTACAATACCGAAATATGAACTTTTGACATAAAATTATTTAATTCAACTTACTGAGGTGTAGCTTCTGCTCTTTCAGCAGGTGCTTCATCATCTGCAGATGCTGGAGCTGCTGGTGCTTCAGCTTCAGCTGCTTCTTCTTCTTCTTCTTCTACTTCTTCATCTTCCTCCTCCTCAGTACTAAATTGAAATATTCAATGAGAATTTAAAAAAAAAAAAAAAAAAATGAAATGAAAGTTGTGAAAATTAAAATATTTTGACTATTGAAGAAAGTTAAAAGCTAAACTTACATCTCTTCTTCTTCGTCTGCCATTCTCTCTATGCAGTCTTATTTTGATGGATTGAACAAAAGCTATAAAATTATGCAAAAAATAGACAAGGCATTATTGCTATTACCCATAACTATTGTACAACAATACTCAAAGTAAAGTAAAGTTTAGAAAAAAGAAAAATGAAATTTTAAATTGTTACAGAAAATGATGAAGAAATTTCATTTTTGTATGAGAAATAAATAAAAAATATTCAGAATTTAAGCTTAATTAACATACACTCCTCGCAATGATATATAATTTCACTTCTTGCAGAAAAAAAAAAAAAAAAAAAAACTTCGATTTCATACTTTAAAGTTAAACTTTGCCCTAAACTTCATAAAATTTCTAATTGGGCTTACAGGAAAAGTTATATTACAAGTAATTCAAATTAATTTCTAACTAATTTGAATATTATTAGTGTGAATTTTGTAAACTAAGCTAAGCTAATCAAACCAAAAAATATTAGCAACAACTTTACGAATAACTTTTGCTTCGCTAAGTTGCTGTTATTGAACAAAATTGTGGAAAAATTAAGGGGATGATTAGTTGTTTGGCAAAACAGAAGCTTTTAAGAACGGGAATTTTTGTTGGGGAGGGGAAATGATAGCGGGGTGTCTGTGTGCCGGTCTTATACATATATATATATGTATGTGTGTGTGTGTGTGTGTGTGTATGTGTGTATGTGTGTGATTCTGAACTCTCAGGAGAGTACATCGGTTTGTTGGTGAAAAGTTTGAGGGCAGAAAACACAGCTGCTTAACCGACACCTCAGGTGATTTCATCCTCTCTCCCGAGATACTCTTTCTCTGTGTGTGTGTATGTGTGTGTGTATGTGTATGTGTATGTATGTGTGTGTGTGTGTGTGTGTATGCAATCTATCAGCATTGTTCGTATCATTGATAATAATAACTTTATACATGTTTAAAATAATGATAAAAAAAGATTGCTGTGTATGTACGTTCGTATATGCGTGTGTGTATGTGTGTGCGTCCGTGTATGCGTGTGTGTGTGTGTGTGTGTATGTGTATGTGTATGCAAGGTAGATGACGTTGTTTTCTGAGCAGTGAAAAACACTTATTTTGCTTTGCAGCATCAGATCCGATGAAATCCTTCAGAATACTTTGAGCAAATTCACTTTAACAATTATAGTTCAACTGGAAACACACTCCTCCCATCAGTCTGTTAAATTTGAAAGTAATGTTAAAATGAAAATACTACTATATAATATCATCAATAAATGAGAGTGAAACGAAAAAGAAAAGAAAGAAAAAAAAAGCTAAACAGCTACTAATGATAAGCTAAGTTTAATTATTCAATTTTATGATATTGAAATATTTGTAATTCTATCTAATGTAATCATCTTATTGCTTTATAGTTTGTAAAATAAAGATAACATTATCAGTAACACTAATTTGTAAAATAAAGATAACATTATCAGTAACACTAATTTGTAAAATAAAGATAACATTATCAGTAACACTAATTTGTAAAATAAAGATAACATTATCAGTAACACTAATTTGTAAAATAAAGATAACATTATCAGTAACACTAATTTGTAAAATAAAGATAACATTATCAGTAACACTAATTTGTAAAATAAAGATAACATTATCAGTAACACTAATTTGTAAAATAAAGATAACATTATCAGTAACACTAATTTGTAAAATAAAGATAACATTATCAGTAACACTAATTTGTAAAATAAAGATAACATTATCAGTAACACTAATTTGTAAAATAAAGATAACATTATCAGTAACACTAATGTGATCAGTGCTAGCTAAACTAATGAATAAATAAGTAATAAAAAAATCTTATTATTGGCCTTAATATTACTTCAGATTAATCAATGTATCATTAGGATAACTTCGATTTCTTTCCATTATTAAATTGTAACGTTGAAATTGAACTCATTGTATAGATAAACATTAAGTAACATTTCAGAGTATTGTATTCCGGATCGGATCAGGTTATACTCATTGTATAGATGAACATTAAGTAACATTTCAGAGTATTGTATTCCGGATCGGATCAGGTTATACTCATTGAAATTATCCTATACAGTATTGGATACGTTATATTTGTGAAAATTTCTCTTCAAAATTTATTCAAATTTAATTAAATAACGCTGCTTTATTTTTAATTCTCTTTGAAGTCGCACAGAAAAATGATATGATATGATATGATTATTGTTCTATTGATAGATCGTGAGTATGTATGTATGTGTGTGTGTGTGTGTGTTGTATGTTTGTGTGTGGGTAAATTTCATGCCAGCTGTTCCATTCAAGCTTTTCTTATTTCAACAAAATTTACACTCTCTCGTTCGAGAAAATTTGCTACCTGAAGAAGGGGAGTGAATATATTGTTTGAAGATTGAAGGAAAAGTGAACAAATAGCATTTGTTCACTTTTTAATACTTTTAAAAATGGAAACAAAAAGCGCACCTTCTTTTGAGAATTTTTAACATTTCAAAAAAAGCTTTCCGTTTAAATTGTTAAAACTTGTAAAGTTACATTTGAAAAAAACTTTCATTGTTTTTTTTTTTTTTTTTCTTTTTGGGTTTTATTATCAGTAAATTATAAAATCATTCAATTATTACAATTCAAAAACAATTTCGTTAATGATAAGAACAGGTGAATTTGATTGCTGATAAAGAAATATGGTTTATAGTAAGGAAACTTCGATCTGCAAATTATTTATTCATTTCTAACATTGCGATGAATGAAAATAAAATTTTAAATCTTTATGAATTCAAACAAATTTCAAGAAAGATTTCAACTTGATTATAGATTTAAATTTTAATATTTTTCGAATGCATTTGATTTATAATGCCACTATTCAAATTATTTTCCTTAAAAGTAACTTTTTTCTTTTTATTTTTCCGAAAACCATTTTGAATTCAGTTGAAATATTTTTCGGCATTATGTTACTTTCTCAACTTAAAACAGAAATGAAAAGAATAAGGCATAACTAATATTTTCTAATGTGTAATTTCAATGCAGACAGACTGAAACTTCAAAAAATACAATCATACAATTTCTTTTAATTTTAAATAATTTCATTTCATTTCATTCAAATTTTTGCTCAATAAATTTGCAACAAAAGAAAATTACTTTTATGGCATTTTTATTCAATAATATATTTATAATCAACCTTTAATAGCTTTTTATTGGTTAAACAAAGTTAATTCAAATTTCATTTTTGCACTTTTTATATCACTTTATTCACTTCGAAAATTTGATGAAACAAATCCAATCACTGCTTATTTTACTGGAACTTCCAAATACATTATACTATTTGATATCTTTTGCTTATTGATTTCTAATAAAGCACTAATAACTTTTAATTAGATTATTACATTTCAGTTATAATTTTAAATTATAATTTTCAAAAAAAAATTTTTTCCATCTATGATAATAAATTGCGCATTTATAATAATGTAGCAGTAGTTTGAAAGGTTAATTAAGTGAGTTTAATAAGTTTGAAAAGTTAATTGAGTTTAAAAAGTTTGAAAGATTAATTAAGTGAGTTTAATAAGTTTGAAAGATCAATTAAGTAAGTTTAATAAGTTTGAAAGTTGACCTCTTAGCAACACCTGCATAGGTCACATATAAAACAACAGTTCGTGATTCCGATAAATGTTTATGATTTCCGGAAAACATTATCTATAAAGACATATATCATCATAAACAATATACAATATAGATTATGGCAGTTCTTTCATTTTTTGTTTATGACTTTCAAGAAGAAGAAAATTTACAGTTTAAATTTAAATTAGTGGGGCAAAAAATTTTCTCACTGATTTAAATACTTTTATGGTGAAATATTATTATATTAAAAGTTTGCTATCAGTTGGTGCTGAATTTCTAAATAGAAAATTCTTAATCAACATACAGATGCTTAATCATATAAAATTCTTAATTCTTAATCATATAAAATTCTTAATTCTTAATCATATAAAATTCTTAATTCTTAATCATATAAATTTCTTAATTCTTATTCATATAAAATTCTTAATTCTTAATCATATAAAATTCTTAATTCTTAATCAACATACAAATGCTTAATCGAAATTAAAGATTTAGAAAAAAAAAATTTAACATTAAGCTTTCCAAGTTTCATAAATCAAAAGATTTCCACTCAATTTTCAATCATTGCTGTGTTATTAATTGAATTTATGAAAATATGCTAATTTCTAGCCTTAAAGTAATTACTCATATAAGTAACAAATTTTTTCATCTATAATAATAAATGGATCATTTATCCGTCAGCCTTCCGGTTTTTGGTTGTTTTCCATAGGAATGGCTTTTTTTGAACGGTTTCAATTGCATGCACTATTCCGGTTGCTCCTGTTAACCGGTATTAAAGAACTGAAATAGATTCTGTCTCACATTGGCTATGCTAAATGCTGTAGAAATTCTTTAGTATTTATTTGAAAATTTTTAGAATTTTAGGATTAATCTCATATTCATAAGCATTCATTTCAAATATCTGATGATAAAATGATAAGGAAAATGAATGGATGAATAATAGCAAACTGTTCTTTAGTATTTTGTTTGTAAATTATTTCATTTCTTATTCATCATAAAAAAAAAATAATTTTTAAAAACTTTTCTGTCAACTTTTCATAAATTACTCTAAGCACATTTTGTCTTACCTACTCCTCTTCTGAAGTGAATATTTCAAATCAATCATCTTTTATTAATTTTTTCAAAAATTTATGTGATTACGTGAATGACACGTAAATTATACATTTTATCCTTTTGTCTCATAAAGTAAAAGTTAAAAATATCGATTAGTTTAATGTTATTGAACGATTTTACTTCGAAACTTTTGATAGTTCTCAAGTTGATTGTGTACAAAAGTTAATTAATAATTTCTTTTTTTTTTTTTTAATTTAATAATTAGTTAATAATTTTCAGTGATTGCTGCTTCTAACCCAAAATTCATAATGTGTGGACAGAAGGTAGAAAATTTTAAATGAATATTGTCAACAATAACAATTTTATTGTAGCAGCAAATTTTACATATTTTTAAATTCCTTTCTCAAAATAACTTCAAAATATACTAATTCGAACGAATTTATTATTTTTTTTTATTTTCTTACACTGAAAATAAAATAAAAATGACACATTTTAAATGGTTTCAAAAGCGCATTTGTCAAAGCCAGCGCAATTGTCTTTTTCTTTTTTTTTTTTTTTTTTTTTTAAAGAATTATATATATTGTTGGTGGGCAGTGGATATCATTGATGTATCCAAAAGTCCAATTCTTTATCAAAATGGTAAATCTGTGATGATCGAAAATAACATTAAAAAATTATGCAGTGAAACTAAAGAAGGTCGATATGGAATTTCATATGTTGATATTAAAATATTATCTAATAATGAGTAAGTTTTTAAGTGAAATATTTGCCTAACTGAAAATTTTCCACTGAAAAATTACCCACAAACTTTTTTGTTTACATTTAACAACCATTGATAGTATGAAAAATATAATTTACTATCAATATCAAAAAAAAAAAAAAAAAAAAATCAAATCAAAATATATTCTCTTTTCAATTTCCATTTTACTTTTAATAATTTTGAATTTAATTATAGATCTATAGATTCTCTTTCTGAAGTGTCTTATTATTGTTGCAATAATTGTACAACATATAAGGTATGTAAAAGAATTATTTATTGTAATATTAACATTAGAATTTTTTGTGTTTTACTTTTAGGAATATTTTGAATGCTAAAATTTACTGAAATTTTTATATTACTAAAATTTACTAAAATTTTTATACTTATAAAAGCATATACGGAAGAATTATTTGTCAGACATCAGAGCTCATTTTCTAATTCAGTATACTCTTAAAAGTAAATCACTAACTTATTCCACTTCAACATTTTGTTTAAATTTATAAAAATTTTCAATTTCTTATTTTTATGTTATGAATTAAAAGATTTGCTGAATAACTTTTTTTTGCACAACTACTGATCTGCAATTCATTTTTTTTTTCTTTGTATTAGAAAATTTATGGTAATTTACAATGCAAATAATTCAGTTTACTGATTAATATGTTTACTAATTTCAATTCAATAATTGCTTAATTAAATTCAATATAATTCCAATTCAATAATTGCTTAATTAAATTCAATATAATTCCAATTCAATAATTGCTTAATTAAATTCAATATAATTCCAATTCAATAATTGCTTAATTAAATTCGATATAATTCCAATTTAATAATTGCTTAATTAAATTCAATATAATTCCAATTTAATAATTGCTTAATTAAATTCAATATAATTCCAATTTAATAATTGCTTAATTAAATTCAATATAATTCCAATTTAATAATTGCTTAATTAAATTCAATATAATTCCAATTTAATAATTGCTTAATTAAATTCAATATAATTCCAATTTAACAATTGCTTAATTAAATTCAATATAATTCCAATTTAATAATTGCTTAATTAAATTCAATATAATTCCAATTTAATAATTGCTTAATTAAATTCAATATAATTCCAATTTAATAATTGCTTAATTAAATTCAATATAATTCCAATTTAATAATTGCTTAATTAAATTCAATATAATTCCAATTTAATAATTGCTTAATTAAATTCAATATAATTCCAATTTAATAATTGCTTAATTAAATTCAATATAATTCCAATTTAATAATTGCTTAATTAAATTCAATATAATTCCAATTTAATAATTGCTTAATTAAATTCAATATAATTCCAATTTAATAATTGCTTAATTAAATTCAATATAATTCCAATTTAATAATTGCTTAATTAAATTCGATATAATTCCAATTTAATAATTGCTTAATTAAATTCAATATAATTCCAATTCAATAATTGCTTAATTAAATTCAATATAATTCCAATTCAATAATTGCTTAATTAAATTCGATATAATTCCAATTTAATAATTGCTTAATTAAATTCGATATAATTCCAATTTAATAATTGCTTAATTAAATTCAATATAATTCCAATTTAACAATTGCTTAATTAAATTCAATATAATTCCAATTCATTAATTGCTTAATTAAAAGTGTAGGGATACTCTGACAACAGAAAAATTGAAGATTTATTGGATAATTACTATAAAAGACAATTGGAACCATTAACTGACAGTGACAGATATTGTTTTAACATTAATGGTGACAAAAAGGTATGTGTAAAATATTAAATATTACTGAAACTTTTTTCTTACTAATTTTTATAGTTTTAACATTTTCTTCTTTTTTTTCCTTTTTTTTTTTGTTTGCAAATAATAATTTATGTTTACTGATTAATCACTTAAATTACTTCATTATTTGATTTGATCAAACTTTGAGCAAAAATTTTTGAAAATTAATTTTCTCTCTCATATTTTAGAGTTATTATTTAATAAATGCTTACTTTATAAAAAAAAAAAAGAATTATTTTAGAAGAATATAGTAGACGATGAACCATGCATACTTATTTTTAATGTCAACAGCGAGATGAAAATTTATAGCGGTCCGATGCTTTGGAATCAAATTGATATATTCGTATCATATCCGAGTCATGATTTTGTCAGTGAAAATTTACTTTTGTATCATACATCAAATATGAGATTTGAAATGATTAAGCAGCAGCAGTGACCTATGACCTATCCTATAAAAATTCAGAAAGATCAAATTGATGATTGTATGAGATATGTTATGTTCAAATTACTGCATATTAATATTATAACTTCAAACCAAAAAAAAAAAAAAAAAGTGGGTTGAAAGAATAGAAATATTGATAGGCGCAATTGTCTTAATGTACTATACATAACATTATTGCTAAAAATAGAAAGTATAAAAGTGGTAACAAATTCTAAAATTATTATACTTCCTTTTTTTTTTTTTTTTTTTTTTTTCTTTAATCTTCAATGAATATCGTCGATTTATAATTTTTAATTTTGATTTATTTTTTAGGAAACTTTAGTAACATTATTTCGAAATGGTAAAGTTTGTGATTTTAATGGTACATTAGGTATTGGTGATGGTGAATGTTTGAAATTGGTATCGCAGGAAGCATATTTTATAATATGTTGCTGTTGGAGTAATCCATTTGATTGTACTTATGATCCAAAACGAAAAAATTTGATTAAAAAGAATAAAAAAATTTGGCTCGAAATAGCTAAAAGTAGTAATCCAGCAATTACACTTCACACTCAAACGATAGCAATTAGCCAAAAAGATATCATATGGTCATATCATGATTTCATCTATAGTTTACCTTCTAAAGGTAATACTTTCTTCTTCTTGTTTAATTTAATTTGATTCAATTTAATTCTTTTTCTCTTTTGTTATTTCAAATTTCAAACATATATACCAAAAAAAAAAAACATTCAAGAATAAGCAGAAAAAAAAAAAAAGGAATTTTTTAAAATTTAAATTTTATATCCTCTACCAGTTTTTTTTTTTTTTTTTTCATTTCTTCATAACTTTTAATTTATGAATTACCTTTTTTATCAATCATCTAATTAACAATCTTCTTTTTTTTTTTTCTACCAATAAAAAAAAAAATACATATAAGTTGCATAATTGCAGTTGCATGCATGAATTTGCATATTTTGCACAATTATTTTATGTTCAGCACTAACCAATTTTTAAATTTAAAACATAAACTTTATTTTCTACCTTCAAAATTCATACAATTTCTAATTTAAAAAAAAAGTTTTTTTACAGAATCAAATGGAACAGATATCATTCCGGGATTAAATGAACCACATTATTACTGTTCCCAATTACTTTCTTATACAGAATCAGAAGATATTATCAATTCATCGATACGTTGGACTAAATTACAAATTAAAGATCTTCCTTTAAGATATCGATTCTGCAAACTTTCTTTTGCAATTCTATTTCAAAATAATGTAGCAAAAAGGTTTGCATAGATATTTAATAACCAATAAAGTATTAAATTACTTACTTTCAATGAAGAAATTTATTTTCTTTGATTAGAAATGAAATAAATAGGTATTATAGCATGAATGAATGAATGAATGAATCATACTATTATAATAATTATTATTATTAAGATTAGAATAGATGAATCATCAAAAAAGATAGCAAAGATTTTGATCAGTGATTTAAATAATGTACGAAAGGAGCAACGATTAGATAAATTAATTATTTGAAGAATTTCGTGCAAGTTTTTAGTGTTGCAAATTTTTGCATATTGATAATTAATTAAGTTCAAAATGACAACGATCATTTATTTAGAAAGTAGGTTAGACATCAAATGATTATTTCATTAGGTTTATTTATTTATTTATTTATTTTTTTCTTAACGAAATTTGAAAGAGTAAACAACTAAATAATTGCATAACAAAGGATATGTATGTGTTGCATGGAAAAGTTAATTAAAAATTTAATCTAATTTGAATTTAAATTTATTACTGATATTCGAGTTCAGTTGAAGGTAAAATATTAATTTCAAAATAATGTAAAATAGTAAATAAGTTACATTAGAATCATAGTATTCTAAATGATATAAAGATACTTCTGATAATAATAATTGATAATACTTTGTTATCATGATAGTAGCACTACAACAATTTAAATCAAAAAAAAAATAGATGAAACATACAACTAATTCATATCAAAGTATTTTCAGTTAAATCATTTGACATTTGAAAATTTAAATTTCTAAATGATCAACTTTTGATAATATCGTTCAAATGCTTCAACTATACATTACTGGAAGAAGAATTGAAATGAAAATTGAGAAATCGTTTATTAATAATTTAATATTATCATGATATTCAGGATTCGGTACAAAGTTGGACCGGATTTTGAAAAGAAATGTAAAATAACACGATGCAAACATAACTATCCGGAATGTTTAGCTGATACATTACGAGCAAAAACAGTGCTAATCAAATCATCGTGTTGCTGTGCTAGCAATTTATGTAGCACTTGGCTGGAATATCGTGATTATGAAGCATTAACCATAAAATCAAAATATTTTACCACGTATCAACATTTTTAAATTCATCATGATTCGTGAGATTGATTTAATAATCGTGATTCTTGAGTTTGATTTAATATCTTTAAATTAATCATAATTTTTGGGTTTGATTTAATATTTTTAAATTCATCATGATTCTTGGGATTGATTTAATAATCGTGATTCTTAAGTTTGATTTGATATCTTTAAATTAATCATAATTTTTGAGTTTAATTTAATATTTTTCAATCAATCATGATTCTTGAGTTTAATTTAATATCTTTAAATTTATCATGATTCTTTTAGTTTAATTCAATATCTTTAAAATTATCATGATTATTGAGTTTAATTTAATATCTTTAAATTCATCATGATTCTTAAGCTTGATTTAAATTTAATTTTAAATGCCACTATATTAGTTTCATGAAAAATTACTTTTTTCACTAAGTGTTATATTTAGTAGAGAGGTAAAAAAAAAAATGAAATAAGGATTAAAAAATAAATAAATAAATAATTATATAATTGAAAGATAGCAAATAAATAGCAAAACATTAATTTAATTCAAATTCAAATTTTTTCTATTATTTCTAACAAAAATATGCATCATTAATAAATACATTTTAAATGTCATTTAATAATTAAATTTCCTTTTTTTTTTTTTTCAGTCTTTTCAATTTTATATTTAATAGAGAGGTAAAAAAAAAATAATAAAATAAATAAATAAATAAATAAATAAATGATTGAAAGATAGCAAATAAATAGCAAAACATTAATTTAATTCAAATTCAAATTTTTTCTATTATTTCTAACAAAAATATGCATCATTAATAAATACATTTTAAATGTCATTTAATAATTAAATTTCCTTTTTTTTTTTTCAGTCTTTTCAATTTTATATTTAATAGAGAGGTAAAAAAAAATAATAAAATAAATAAATAAATAAATAAATGATTGAAAGATAGCAAATAAATAGCAAAACATTAATTTAATTCAAATTCAAATTTTTTCTATTATTTCTAACAAAAATATGCATCATTAATAAATACATTTTAAATGTCATTTAATAATTAAATTTCCTTTTTTTTTTTTTTCAGTCTTTTCAATTTTATATTTAATAGAGAGGTAAAAAAAAATAATAAAATAAATAAATAAATAAATAAATGATTGAAAGATAGCAAATAAATAGCAAAACATTAATTTAATTCAAATTCAAATTTTTTCTATTATTTCTAACAAAAATATGCATCATTAATAAATACATTTTAAATGTCATTTAATAATTAAATTTCCTTTTTTTTTTTTTTTTCAGTCTTTTCAATTTTATATTTAATAGAGAGGTAAAAAAAAATAATAAAATAAATAAATAAATAAATAAATGATTGAAAGATAGCAAATAAATAGCAAAACATTAATTTAATTCAAATTCAAATTTTTTCTATTATTTCTAACAAAAATATGCATCATTAATAAATACATTTTAAATGTCATTTAATAATTAAATTTCCTTTTTTTTTTTTTCAGTCTTTTCAATTTTATATTTAATAGAGAGGTAAAAAAAAATAATAAAATAAATAAATAAATAAATAAATGATTGAAAGATAGCAAATAAATAGCAAAACATTAATTTAATTCAAATTCAAATTTTTTCTATTATTTCTAACAAAAATATGCATCATTAATAAATACATTTTAAATGTCATTTAATAATTAAATTTCCTTTTTTTTTTTTTTCAGTCTTTTCAATTCATGCTATCAACAATTAACAACATATTTGCAAGCTTCATTATTTGGAACTAATAAATGTGTGAGAAATATTGATTTTCGACTTCAAGAAGAGATACCTATGGATGAACGTAATTTAATCTTTCATAAACTTGCTGAAAATGCTGTACTACTCGGTGACAGGTAAAATTCATTTTGAATTTTGAATTTTGCTTCAAAAATTTGGGAATATTTAAAAATTGAATTAATGCATGCAAATAATTTAATCTCATTAATTTGTAACTCTTAAAAATTTTTTTTCTTTTTTTGTTTAAGCAAATTATAGTAAAATGTTATCATTTTTGTTTAATTTAATTCATATGATACAATTGTTGTTTTAAAATTTTGTTAATCATAAATATAGCTAAATAAGTAAATATGAAAAAAGAGGAAATTTTAGAATTTCAGAAATTTCTTTTTTTTTTTGCTCTCATCAGATTTATTTTTACTTGGTTTTGTTTTAGTTGAGAAAAAAAGATTGGCGAGTGTAAGGTTTAGTGGATAATTAGAAAATGATAAATAAGTAAAATTAATTTTATATGATTTTTCTTTTCATATTTTAAATTATTTATTCAATTGTCAAAAATTACATATAGCTTTTATTGAATAAAATATATAAATGTTAAGTAAATGAATTGTTATTATGAAAATTTAAGTTTAAACTCTTACTTTTACCCATCGATTTTACTTATTTCAATATTTATTTATTTCACAAAATTGATTGTTTCAAAGTTTTAAACAAATTTTTATGTGACTTATAGACTATAATTTTTAAAATTGACTTGCCAGTTATAGTAAGAAATTTATAGCAAATTTTTTTCTTATCTTCTAATTTTATTTGTTAAGATGATTTTTGATAAGTATTTACATCTTTTTTATCATTAAAAAATTTATATTGATTAGCCATTAAAGAAGTTTAGTTATTAATTTTTGGACATAATTGGCGCAGTTTTGAAAAATAAAATCCACAAAAAAAACATTTGGATAAAAATGAAATTAATGAAAATTCTAGAAAATAATCATTTGTTCTATTCTTGTTTATGACTAATCATAGTTTTGCTTTAGTTATAATTTTTCAAATTTACACATTAAACCATTAACAGCACTTGAGAAATGATCAATTTCTAAAAGAGAAAACTAAATTCTTTAATTACTGTGGTAAAATTAAAAATGATAAAGTAGATGATGTCATTGTAAATTTTTGAGGTATTCAGGATTTTATAAATTTTTAACTTCTAATTTACAGTGCGTTTTTTAGATTTATAATTTAGATGATTTCAAATGAACTGTGACACTTTTGCAGCTAGAAATGGGACAAACAAATTTATATTATTCATATTTTTAATTGCTAATAATTTATTGGGAAAATTTCTTTTTCTACTCTCTTAATGGAATTTATATTTAACTTAGGGAAGAGATGGGTAGTTAGGATAACGTATGTCTATTTAAATTAAAATAAAACAAACTATTTAAATTATGACTATTTAAATTAAAATAAGGCAAACTATTTAAATTATAACTATTTAAATTAAAATAAGGCAAACTATTTAAATTATGACTATTTAAATTAAAATACGGCAAACTATTTAAATTATGACTATTTAAATTAAAATACGGCAAACTATTTAAATTATGACTATTTAAATTAAAATAAGGCAAACTATTTAAATTATGACTATTTAAATTAAAATACGGCAAACTATTTAAATTATGACTATTTAAATTAAAATACGGCAAACTATTTAAATTATGACTATTAAAATTAAAATAAGGCAAACTATTTAAATTAAAATAAGGCAAACTATTTAAATTATGACTATTTAAATTAAAATAAGGAAAACATACAAATACAAAAAAGAAAAATGTTCTATCAAAAAGATGAACCAACAGTTTTGAACTTATATGAGGATGAATGATATGTTAGCGATAACAAAGATTTTGTAAAGAGGAAAGAAAGCAATAAGATATATTACCTTATTGAATTTCCACTTCCACTTTAATGTCACCTATCATGTCGCAGAGTTTATTTTCATTCCAGGAGAAATCTGTCATGTGCTATTTACCATATACATACACTGAAAGACCCATACTGTCATTTGAGAAGAAATTATGAAAGCGAAAGGACAATCTTCCAATATCGCAGTTGTAAATGTAATTGGAAAACAGAAACCTTAGAATCAGTAAGTTCCATCATCAGTTAATTACTTAAATATGCAGAATGTAATGCAACAATAATGCTAAGCAAATAAGGTACCATGAAAATATCTCTTAATGTTTCATCAAAATTCTTAATGATAACATTACAATTATTTGAATTCTCAATGATAACATAACAATTATTTTAATTCTTAATTATAAATTATTTTAATTCTTAATTTAATTATAAAATAACAATTATTTGAATTCTTGATGATAACAGTACAATTACAATATGTCATATATTCTTTTTAAAATACTAAATTGCTTCCAGTTGTATATTTAATATTTATGATATTTGCAAGTATGCTCAATTCAGAACCAATGTGATGCCGGAATTACTTCTGAATTGCTATTAAAGACAAAGGACCGGAATCGGCCAACCTGTTTTTTTACCTCTTTTACTGGTCATGAGCCTTTATTTATTTCTGGACAAGAAATTACTTTAAAAGAAGGTTTTAAACAGGTATTATAACTAATAATGTTATTGTTATTAACAAAAGAAAAAAAAAAAAAAAAGATAAGATAATAATAATGAAGAAGGTATAAAATTTAGGAAGAAAAAGTAAGTTTCATTTAAAAATTTATCACAATAATAATTTTTATTTGCACCAAGGAAACCGAAGAAATGCCAATTTGTGCAACATCTTTATTAATCGGCAATTATGGTGTATTTTATCGATTTTACAAATTACGCTACTCTCGATTTAAAGATGAAATTGCATCGAGAAAGCGTTTTATTGTAACTAAAAAAGAGAATTATACAACTTATACAACATTATGTCGATCTAATGAAACCAATCCATGCAATAGTATGTCTATTCTAATTTATAAAAAAGTATTAATAAATTGAAATGACAAATGGATTAATTTAAGCTAACATTAAATTTTACATACTAAGGAAAAGTATGATTTGCAGATTTGATGGATTTGATAAGATATCAGTTAAGGTATTCAGTATATTATCATTCTAAAACAAAAAAACCACAAACTTATCATCAATGTGTTATTGCTAAAAAAACAGAAACAATCGTTGAAAAATGTTGGTCAACAGCTGGCTGCTTCATTTTTCGTTATCTTAGTTCAACAGAAAAATTGGTTGGTAAAGAAAAAAATAATTGAGATTTTATGAATAAAGATTAAAATTAAAAAGATTAAAATCAAGATTAAAATTTTTGATTTTATAAAAATTAACTATGAAATTCAAAAGAATTTTTTTTTTTTTGATTTTGAAAATCTTTCATTTCATCTTATATTCTATTCCTTACTTAAAGTAAAATCTATCTACTTATATGTCATCATCATCATCATCATCATAAGTACAATCACATACTATTATTTCATGAATAATCATTTCAAATGATCAAAATAATAATATTGTAATTTCTGACATATATTCCAAAAATAAATAAATAAAATATAAAATCTTGATAGGATAATGAAATACATTTATCAACATAATCCGATCCAATAATCATTTTAGGTTGGTTGCGCAGATAAAATACCATCATTAATTGAAGCATCACCAAGTTTATCACCTCTGATGTGGTGTGTTGAGAAGATTTATCAAAAGGAGAAATACAGATGTAGAGCTTTTAAAGGAACAACAAATTTAATAATAAGTGGAACTTTATGCTGCTGTTATAAGGATTGCTTCATCATGTTTGTCTTATTTTTTTAAGCACTATTTTTTTTTTTCTCTTTCTTCCTTTCAAATAAAAATAGAAAAAGAAAAGAAAGATGTAAACAGACAAAAATAGGCATTGATAATTTGAGAATAACAAAAGTAAACAGTACTGGAATGAAAATGAAATTAGCAATTATTATCAGTAAATAAGGAATGATCAAACAATTGAGATGATTCAATTTGAGTCAAATCTTATATTATTTATCACTATGATAATTCTAGGTAATATTCAAGATAACGCTGTTAAATGATTAATTTCAATCACTTATCACCTTCATCAGAAATGCTTTATTTCTTTAGCACAAAGAAATAAAGCTTTCGCTTTTAAGCCTCAGTTAACTAATCTATTTATTATCATAGCCAATACTGTATCTAAATTAGATAAATCACAAGGTACAAACTTTGTCTGCTAATTTTTCTGCAAAACATTTTGCAATTTAAATTTTAGGATGGATGAAGATGAATATGGTTTCAATCCTTTCGAAGGTGTATTAACAAGTTGAGATATCTGTTTATTCTAACAATTATAATTTCACACTTTCTTTTTTTTCCAGTTAATTGTATTAGCAAACTTTGTTTCCATAAAAACTTTCAGAAAAATAAAAAAAAAAAAAATAAAAATAAAAGTGTTCAGTGTTGAACAGTCATTATTTAGTTTAAATGCAAAAGATACAGCAACGGAAACATACCATCTCAATCCATTATTACTATCTACAGAAACAGAAACAGTTCTTTGCATTCTACATTTCAGATTCAAATTAGATTACTGTCAAATCATATTCAAAGTAATACTTCGTATAGGTCAAGGGAATAAACTAAAGAGCTTTTATTAAGAAAACCTACCTAATATTCATATAACCATGTAAGTTTACAAATAATTTCTTGAGGACAAATTTCAGAATGCAGAAATTGCTTGTAGCTCTAGGCACCTTAACCATTAAAGGATCTATCGAAAAGTGACAAATAACACTGAAATATAAATAGCATTAAACAAGATCAAATTTAAAAAATTTTTATTTAAAAGTTGAATGTTATGTTGCATGAGGCCAAACAGCTTTAGAAGATATCTATAATCAAGAAATCTATAAATCTATAATCAAGCTGAATGAAAATGAAATAATTTTGAATAAAAATTGAGGAAGCAAAAAAAAAAAAAAAAAAAAGATTAAAAACAAAGAAAACGATCAAAAATAGCCAAGCAGACACTAAGAAGATCATAGATACGAAATATGCAAAAAGCTTGCATATAAAAAGTAAAAATAATATAGACAAATGTCAAATGTCATTTGATATATTTTTGAAAGTCTGAAAGCACACAATACTGAAAACATTCTATAAATTTAGCAAGAAATTTACATATCTCAAAGAAAGTAGAATTTCTCAAAACTTTACAAATTCTGGAACACAAATTAAAATTATTTTATGGCTACTACCTGCATTAATTCAAATATATCCGTAAAATATAGCAGTCTGGACAATAAAAGAAAAACAAAATTCAAGACTGAAACGGAAGAAGTGAAATGGATGAAAAAACACCAATAAAGCACAATTTCAAAATACAATAAAAATATAAACCTACAAAAAACTTCATAAAATTTTGCATCACTCGATTAAATAAATTGTCTACATATTTCCTCGATAGGATGAAAGAAAAATCCCTATGTCATAAAGCTAGATTCCAAGATGAGATAACCAAATTACTCAACAATTATAACCACCATTTAAAAGTTCATTACCACTCATTACAGGAACGATCAGATCGTCCATATTTGGACAGACCAAATTTTTCTCTAACAATAAACGAAGCTTATTTTCAATCCAGCTTGAAACAGTACTCATATCCACCAATCTATCGCCGACTTGTGGAACACTTCTGATAGAAAGTTCCGGCGGAGTACGGAATGCATACCTGAAATTATCAATCTAAAGATCCTGAAAGTAAACATTACAGATGAGATTCAACAAAAATTAAACTGCTAACCTGATGAATAAGAATACTTACCAGAGTCTATCAGAAGGAGGTGGTGGAATATTAATTGTCATAGTGCCTTCTAAGCGTATTACATCAACATTTAGTAATAAACGAGTCGATGATATACCCTCCATCATCTAAATTGCAATAAATACTTTCAGTGTAGTAGTTCCAAGTTCGCCTACTGGAAACAAGAGAATCATGAACGTAGATAAATGACGAAGGAAAAAAGGAAAGTCTCGAATGTTTACTGTTCGGAAAAATAGTACATTAAGTATAACAGATAATAAATACGATATACTATATTAAAAAAAAAAAAAATTGAAACTAGAAATGGAAAAGTTATTAACTAACTTGAGCCTACACGCAGAAAAAAAAAAAACCTTTTTTACAGGTCGGAATTCGGAAGCACCTTGGAATATATTACTGCTAGCTATTTTATCGACCACGTTCAGTAATTTTTTGCCTGTACTTTCCTTGACAACCTGAGTCCTGCAAAACATAGATTTTAAAACAGTATGTGTAATCTAGCCGATACTATAGGAATTGATATTACTAATAACAGATCTAATCTTGATATTCCGAAAAAAAAAAAAAAAAAAAACAACTAACTTCTCCATTTTTGAGCCAAAATCTTCATCTGGACTATTTTCGGGTGATTCTGGCAAATCAGAGTCAGAATAGTGATGAATCCGTATCGGGGTCTTTTTTTTGCTAACCTGAAGTCAAAAAACTGCTTCATTTAATTTAATACTATCTGAACATTCAAATGCGATATGAAATTAAAACAATACCTCTCTGCACACTCCATTCTTGTGCATGCCCTCTTTCAATTTCATTAAATTAACTTTTGTTTCCAATGTCAAATGTATTTTACCGCGATACTTCAACTAAAACAAAAATATATTTCTAACTGCAACGTTATTGATATACTTTTAGTTCTTCCACAGATAATTAAAATTTAGTTCAGTAGCATTTTTCAATAAAAAATTACTGAACATAAGTGGATATGCAGAAATTCGCCAATGTCTATATTTACAATTGGATTTCTCACTCGCATCACTAGAATTACAATTAAATTTCATCGGTAGAGTAGAATACCTCAAAATCGATCCAAAGCCCCCAATCATCTAGAACAGGTGAGTGGACAGCAACAATTTCAGGTGGCGTAGTGCCTAAATCCAAATTTGAAAGTTCCAGAGTTTCGATAAAGTATGGCAACTGAAAGCAAACAGCAAAACTATTTAAACGAACATAAAAAGAAAAAAAAAAACCTTAATTACCAAAAATACCAATTTTAAATTCCAACTGAAGTGGGAATTTTTATAGAATCAAAACCAGTCAGAAAAACGAACATTTAAGCAGTTCTTTTTACACCAATCCTTAGTTTGGTTTTAATAAATTCATCTAACTCAATTTTTGTGGCTTTTTTGATTTCCCTTTCCAATTTTTTTGCAGTAATTTCAAAAATATAGTAAGCAATTCACAATGATTAGCGTACAAAATATATTAATTTTCAACAAACAGTTTTCAATACCGTACACTTCACATAAAAAATATTTTGGAGGGATCGTAAACTAACATTAAGAGTAGCTAATTTAGATTGAATTTTGTTTTGCACCTGCTTGCACCAATATGCATCTCGACAAAAATCATAAAATATTCTGAAATATATTTTTCAAGTTTGATTGAGCTATCAGAAATAATCACTTTCTTGGAAATACTTTTTTACGTCATATACAGATATTTATAATAAAATGATTAATAATGTCAAAGAATCGAATGCCACAAAAAGAGATCAAACTCGAACCTAGCAGCTAAAGCATTTACAGACATAACAAGCTGTGGGCTAGTATCAGCTTTTCCAGGATACCATTTGTTGCGTCCCAAATCCATATATACAACATTGCCATCGGTTTGCTTCTTGTTTTCCCCGTGTAAAGTTTTAAGAACTTCATCAATACATCTAGATAGGAATGGAAACAGTTAGATTTCCAAAAAAAAAGTCAAAAAGTCACAAAAAAAAAAAATTCACTTTAAAAAATTTAAAAAAGTATAAAAGATTCATACTTATTGAACTGCACACGATTGCTGATGTAAAGAAAATACTCCAAACTCAATTTCAACGAATCTGGATTCACAGCTGATAGCGGAAGTGAAAACCGACGATCTGGTAAAACTTCCTTCACGTCACTTCTTAGAAGCTGTAACACTATTTTTTTATATTGACTGTTCTATTCAATCCTTTATTATAGCCAGTTATATAACAATCTTTTCAGAAATGGATCATTTACAGAACTATCTATTCGTCAACTGATCTGCATCCATATAAATCAAGATTATTTTTTCGGCCGTTCGGGCTGTTTGGCTTTATTCAGTTGAAACTCTCAAATCTTGATTATTGTTAGAAATTACTTCTTCCATTTTATCTAGTCATATAACGATCAAACTAGGTTTTACAAGGATGTTTATAAATTCAAAACAAAAAAATTGTCTAAATTGACCGTTGCTTCTGCATCTGCAGTTCCCGTACTGCACTGACTGCATGCTTCTCGTAATCTATAATAATTTAATCATGGCATTTGAAGTAATGGAAATATCTATCAATTCGCTGTATTATTACCAGAAAAGCTGTCTGGTAAAATATGAAACTTAAAATATTCCAGAGTGTCCAAATACACTACTAGCAGTACTGGACAAACATAGGTGCATGTCAGCTCTCATGCAATTTCCGTAATACTCTCTACTCTTATAACAAGTGATAATCACATATGTATATATATTTTAAAACTATAAAAACTACATTTTTTAAAGCTATAATACAATTTTTTAAAGTTATAAGCGATATTAAAAGCAGTGAAAATTACCGGTGAAACCAGCGTTCTTTTTCCCTAGCACTACGAACAAAGAAGTACAGACTTCGACTTCTGCTTAAACCTTTGCTGCGATTATTCCCAAAAGCAACAGAACATGAACTAATATTTTCTGGATTTTCTTCGCCACTTTCTGAACAAGGCATATATTCTGCAAAAAAACAATATTATTTCAAAATACATGGACTTCAGCAAATTATGCACTTCTCTTTTAATTCAACAAAGTTCAACCTAGAAAACTACTAAACGCTTGAAAAAAAAAAAAAGCTTAAAAATGTCAAAACATGTTAATGCATAGATGAAGCAGTTCAATCTGACTAATATTAGAAGGTTCAACAATTGTTTATAGTAATAGTATGGTCAAATGATTATGCAATCAGGTCGATGCATAGATATGCTATATACACAGCAGCATTGTTACCAAGCATTTTAATTGATTAGACAGGTCACCTAGAATATAATATCTATCTATAGAGGAATATTAAGAGCAGAAAAAAAGACATACGCGAATTTTCATCTAAGTTTTCCTGTGAAGGATGTTTCATATCATTCTTATACATTGTTTTTATTGATTCTGGTGATCTTAAAACGAACATTCATGCAATAAGCATAGAAATATTGTTGCAAGGAAATGGCATTGAAAACAACTGACCAAAAA